GGCACTGGTGGGGGTGTGATAGAGCATTTTGCAGTTGTTCTGGGTGGAGTAGAGGGTGGTTGAGAGATGGTCTGGATGCTTGGTGCATTGCTGGGATTGCTGGGGTTGTCACTCGCAGCAGCAGAACCATTTGGCTCCTCCTTGTCCAGGACATCCTCAGCCACTATGATCTCTGTGGGTGTGAAAGTGACATTGCGTTCCATGGATATGTGACATCTTGCCTCCTGAACATGAACATAGACCTTCATTCTGAATTTGTGCGCTTGCATCAAGCTTGGCTTCACATATTAAATGATTTCATAGGGAGTAGTACCTAGTGTTGCTTGGGAAGGGAGTTGGTTTTTTAACTATGTTGTGTAGCTGACAGCTTCTGCCCACAGGTACTTGGGTAAATCCTTCACAATCAGCATCACACAGGCATGTTCAACTAGTGTTTGATTGAGGTGTTCCACCACGCCATTCTGCTGGGGTGAGTCATGTACCGTTAACTGTTGTTCAATATTCTGCTGATGCAAATAGTCGTCAAATTCAGCACTGAGATATTCTCCCCCTCAATCTGAATGGACTGTCACCAAGTGAACTCCTGGCAATTGATGCACCAGCTATGCCTCGTAGGCTTTGAATGTGGTGAGTGCCTTGCTTTTGTGCTTCAAGAAGTGAAGCTTTGTCTGACGACTATGGTTGTCAGTAAAGCTGACATAGTATAGGCACCCACCTAAACTCATAGTTTGCACTGGTCCCCAGAGATCCATATGCACTAACTCTCTGTATGTGAGTGCATGGCTCGTACTTTCGTCCAGAAAAGGCTTTCAGGCTGATTTCACTTTGATGCAGACCTCACAGAACTCTGGTTTGGAACTGGTGTTGATTTCAATGCCTGTGATCAAGCCCTTCTTCACCGTGTCTATGACAGCGGTTTGGGACACATGCCTAAGAATCTGATGGGCCTCGCTAATAGTAAGCTTTGTTGTTGTGATGTTGGTGTGATGCTTCTGACAGCTTCCTGCAATACTGTACAGACCCTTGACTTGAGGAATCTTGGCAATGACACAACGTGGGGACCCCTTCAATAGGATCTTGCACATCTGGCCTTCAAAAAGGATGGCTAGGCCACCCACCATGATGCAGTTGGTGGAAATGAGCATAAAGGCCATAGTAGGTACATATAGTGTGTTTTTCAGGGTTACTGTCATGCACTTATTACCGAGTGGGAGGTCAATCTGGACATCTCCTCAACCAATCACACTGAGAGTCGAACCATCTGCTGTATGTACATCTTGGGGAGGAATGGTAATGAAGTTGTTAAACTTCAAGTGATCCAGGCAGAAGTGTGATGTCACACCCAAGTCCACAATGGCTCCTCTCTTCTTGATGGGTAAGCCCAAGTCTTTTGCCACAGTCGCTAAGTCAGACATGATGAAGGCATATTGGTCCTGGGACTCAGCTTCAGCTGCAGAATTTGGCACCTGCTTCTCCGTCTTTTCACCTCTCTTCCTCTGCTGGTTCAGACCTTGCCCTTCTTTTCCCCCTCCAGGCCTCCAACAGCCATTTTGTAATGGCCCTTGCAGTCACAGGTAAAATAGGTAATGTCGGGGTTGGTCTTATTGTGGAGGATGGTGAGATACGGCCCTTTCCTCTTGTCTCCTTTGCAGCAAGATCTGCACTAGCTCCCTTCTTGCTGGGGCATCATTCAGTGAGTTGTCTATGTTCCTACTCTTCAGTTATGATGGTGACTAGCTTGTAGGAGGTGAGGGTGTTAAGGTCATGCTCAAGGGAGAGGTTACTCAAAGGGCTTCAGCTTCAGCTTGTGCGCTGTGCCCCTTACCCAAGTACGTGCCCTTTAATTTCCAGGGGACAGAGGGGAAGTCCGACAGAAGTCCGGGGAGTTCCGGAGGACTTAGTGTCGGTGGAGTTCGGCGGAACTCCGGAAGGTTTATGCAAGGACGGAGTAAGGCTACTACAGAAGTCCGGAGTAGAAACAGAACAGAGTTTAGACTACCCTAAGGTAGAGCCAGAGAATTAGTCCTAAGGTTTAACCCCTAAGACTCGGAGGTGGACAAGAGATGAGACTCAAGTCCAGAGATTGCAGGAATGAGTAGAACTAAGATGATATTCGAACTGAGGAGTTCCGGAGTATTACAGGGGTTTATATACTGTAGGTATCTTGTAAGTAAATCAGTCAGCAAAGGTAAGGGTTATGTATGAAGCATGTGGAAAGTCTATTACTAAGTATAACAGATCAAAGCAGTGAAGTCGGAAATGAAGTAAGAATGGATGGATCAATAAGCATAGCGGAATAGGACATAACCGGTAACCGGAGCAATAGCTAATCTAAAAGGAGTTAGGGGTGAGTGCGGAGATGAAGGCAGAGCGCCGGGCGGAATAGTAAGACGGAGGACCGGACTTCAATGAAGTAGATCTGGAATTCCAGGTCCGGAGGTACGGGATATGACAGAGAGGCATCTTCATTATATTCACAGCTGCAGTGATGGACAATAGGAGTGGGTGATATGATTCAGGGAGGGAGCCCAGGATGATGGCATAGAAGTCTGCAATGGCAATTGCAATGCCCATGCCTGCAAGCAGTTCATGGAGCCTCATAAGCTCAGTGAAGTGAGATCTAATGTCTCCTCCCTCATTGCACTTCATTTCCTGCATTCATCGACATAAGTCTATCTGCACCAGCTCTGTCTTCCCCTTATGGATCTGACATATCTCTTCCCAGATCTTCAGTGTGTCCTTCAGCTTCTGGATGTGCAGTAATAGCTGGTCTGTAATCATGCTAAATATCTGCTGCTTCACTAGTGAGTTTCTCTGATGGTACTCGTCAATCCGCTTATCAAGTTCATTGTAGTCTGCCTGTGTAGGCATTGTCCTGTCAGGCTTCACAATAGTCTTCATTTTCAGGTCAACCACAAAGGGTTTTGGCTCACTTGTTCAACCATCAGTATACCACATCAAACCTCTAGCGCCAATAGTCGTTAATGTCTGTTTCTTATAGGTTATCCAGTTCAAGCCATCTTCAGCAAGCTTCAGGACAATGAGCAGGGTTGCGTTGGAGCTGGGGAGCAAAGTATCCATGGTTGAGACAGGGCTCATAACCTGTGGTGAGTAATAAGTCACAGGCCTTCATGGATGATCTAATAGACAAGTATAATCTCAGTCTCTTGAAAGAAGCTTGTCTAACAATCTATGTACCTAATAGACAAGTATACTAGGGACTCATCAGTACTGTTCTAATTGATATGTCAAGACTATTAACTCACATCTCAGTCTCTTGAAAGAAGCTGAGATGCACTCATCAATGTCCTTTTTGGCTTGGGCTTGGGCCAGCTGTCACTCTCTCTCCTCAACCATCTCAGATCAGTTGGTCTTCTTTGTCTCTGATCACTCAGATCGTTCGGACTCTAACAAATGGCTTGTTTTTATTCCTCCCATGCAAGCTTTTTCTTCATAGATGACTGTGCATGCTTGGTCATGTCGAGAGGTGAGTGAGACAGTTGAGGGACTGAAAAGACATCATCATTCATTGTGCCAGTAAACAGACTTGCATAAAGTGTACCATTATCAAAGCACAACTGTGTCATCATTGGCAATTATGAAGCTCATATTTTCATATCCCACTTAGGCATTGGCACGAGTAAACCTGCAGGTATCAAGAGCTCTACCCATACCCATACCTGTATACCCAAGGGTACTGATGGGTATGGTTACCATGGCAGGTATTGACATGTTGCTGTTGTCACTGTCACTGCTGCCATCATCATTGCCACCATTGTTGTTGTCACCACCATTGTCATTGTCACCATCATTATTGTCATCGCCATCATTGTCGGGGGCATGAGAGATGGTGTGTCGCATGGGGAAAGAGAGATGGGGCTCATGAGCATGAAATCAGACTAAAAATGAGTGCATACAACTGAGAACAAGTGAGAACAAATACAAATGAGCAAGAATGAAACATGTAACACAAACAAGCAAGAACAAACATGTAACTTTGAGTGAAAACCAATGCATACGAGGAAAAACAAATGAGAACAAACACATATGAGTGAAAACAAACACATACCAGTGAAAACAAACAAGTATTCTGTGACAGGAAATGTGATGCAAGGCAGATGCAGCTGGCAGTGTGCGAAACAGGCAGTGCTCGTGTTGTGAAGCAGGGTATGAAGTTTGATGGGGCATGCAAATGTGAGAGATGAGGCACACAAGCATGAGAGACAGTGCACATGAGCACGAGAGACAGCGCAAGAGGAGAGGGCACAAGAGGGCAGGTGAGAGAGGGCATAAGAGATGAGGGTTTGCAAGACAAGTGTGAGGAATTTAACAAAAGAACCTCAGGAGTGCAAAATGCTTCACAGTAAGAGTATAGAAAAATGATAAAAAGTTAAGAAATACTTTGAGTCTCAGTGTCATCAGCACTGGTCCCTTTCAACTCCCCCATGGCCCTGTGACAGTGATGAACTGCAGTGGTACAAGTAGAAGCAATATTAATGAGAATGAATGCAATAACAACTCAAGAACACTGCGGTAAACAAAGTCACATGACATACCCCGCACGGGTATTGCCACATGGGTACATGGGTTTTGAAAGTCAGACCCATACCCATACCCATGCTGATGCCTAATCCCACTTGCTTATTTGTTGATTAGAGACTCTTAAGACATCCCTCACCAGCATTGCTCTGGCAATGTACTCACTCACCTGTTTACCTGCAGAATATAATGATAGTATGTCTGGATGTTATATACATGTGTTGTATGAGTTTCTGAGTCAGATCTCAACACTTGATGTGTTCAGCCCTAGAATAGTGAAAATTGAAGAACAAAACATAACATCGCAGAACAATCTACACTCTTTCGTGCCTATTGGTACTGCCAATGTATAGTCCTGTATGAAACTAATGTGATCTACCAATTTTTTTGATAAGAGAGTACCGCAGTCGAGTGTTGTGCGAGGCAAACGCAAATGCCGCTGTATTACGGTAGTCGTGACTCTGTGTTTCTTCTTGCCTGACTTTTGGATGCACGTGATCCTATTATAAGCGAAGCTTTCGGTTGAGCGCCCATTTCGAATTCCACGTCTTCGAATTCCCTCAGGTTCTTCCTCGACCGTCGACTCAGTCAACCTCAAAATGGCGCCCTCAGATGAGCTCGAGTACCTCAAGCACCTCGTAGCACAGCTCAACGAGAAAATTCACGCGCTCGAGGAGAAAGCAAAGGCTGTCGTCCCACCTCGGAAGACACCTGCTCAACAGCTTAGGACTATCCTAATGGGCCCTCCTGGTGCTGGTTCGTACTGCTTCCATTGAAATATGTGGAGGAAGGCTCGCCAGTGTGGGATATGTTGACTGATTGACGGTTTGCAGGGAAAGGAACGCAGGCCCCACGGATACATGACGATTTCTGCGTCTGCCACCTGGCAACGGGTGACATGCTTCGCGAGCAAATAGCCAAGAAAACTGAGTTGGGAAGGATGGCTAAGAAAGTTATGGATGCGGGAGAGCTCGTTACGGATGACATCATGGTTAACATGATCAAGGACCAGCTCGAGAATAACAAGGCTTGCAAGAATGGGTGTGTTGGACATCGATTCCTTTTATTCACGTCGTTTCTCACCTTTTGAGCTCAGATTTGTCTTGGATGGTTTCCCAAGGACCGTTCCACAGGCCGAGAAACTCGACTCCATGCTTGACTCTCGCGGTGAAAAGCTTGACAGCGTCGTCGAGTTGCTCATTGATGATCAGCTACTCATCTCCCGTATCACCGGCCGTCTCATTCACCCCGCTTCAGGACGGTCGTATCACAAAGAATTCCAGTGCGTCTCCAACTGGTGCTATGCATTAGATTTCCCTAACATATTCTGATGCTAGTCCGCCTAAAAAGCCCATGACAGACGATGAAACCGGCGAACCGCTCATCCAGCGCTCCGATGACAATGTAGAAACGTTGCGGAAGCGTCTTGATACCTTCCACAAGCAGACTGGCCCCGTTGCAAAGTACTACAAAGCCAGGGGCCTGTGGCACGGTATCGACGCCGCTCAAAGTCCAAGTGTTGTTTGGGACGACCTGCGCAAAGTGTTCCGGGCCCCACCAGCACAGTCGTAATATATCGCACACTTTTTGGCTCGGCATACATAGATGATGCGTCACCGACAATCGTCATAATGTCAGACTATCACCCACCAACCAACCTTGGAGAAGCTGTAAACTCTCAAGTCAGGTATGTGACATGCACGAAAGCACATAAACGACAACTTAAGATGTAAGCGCATGCGCACGGTGACCTTAAATGAGAGAAGTAACGTGGATCTGCATCATGGCCCCTCCACTGGACATACATCCTACTCCCGTTGTAAGATAGCTAACAGCCCAAGACCTTCTAGAAGTGCATATTTGAATTGTGGGAAATCATTCTGTGTGGTACTTAGCGTTCGCCTGGTGAGAAAAATGAAGGTCGCCGCGGTAGAATGCTGGTTCCATTGAGCCAATGTAGATATGAGATGGATGAATCGATACAGTTGGGGTGCAGAGAGACGGAAGAAATGCTGGATTGCGTGAGGATGATACATAACTGAGGACGATGACGATTGGAGATTCTGTGTTCAACGTAGCCTAAGACCAGATGCAATGACCGAGGTAAAGTTGAGAACTTGGAGTAGGAACTACAGGAGTAGAGCATGACGGACGTGGATATGAGGGTCGCATGAAGGACACGTCGGCATAAATGCAACAGAAGAAAAGTCAGTAATATTGTTAGGAAAGAGCTGGGACAGACGTGTCGGGGGCCTAGCTTGCGAAATGCACCTTGATCAAGCTCAGGTCTGAAGACATCACTAGCGCGCGGACGAATACTAGAAACTTGTTAGTCTCCCCTAGCCAGCCCTATATAGACGAAGGAAGATATATAGTCGTTCCTTCAAATATATATAGGAAACCTGTAGTCGTTTGCATAATGATTTTGACAAACAGAGAAATTTGGACGGCGTTCCGTTCGAATTCGACAATTTTCGAACATATGTATTATGCTGGCCTGTGCTGGCAGCTGCGTAACTTGACTAGTCGGTTGACTCATCGATGCCAGTGCCAGCGGTATTCCGACGTTCTCTCCGAGCCACGAGGCTCGAGATAGTTCCCACTGGCAAACTTCGTACTAGAGGATGGGGCCGAACTTCGTCGGCAAGGAACCTTGTTTACTGTTTCTGTACAGTGTAAAGTAGCAAACGATCTTCCGAAGTATTTTGTACAACATTACATAGTGAGATACATTTTTGTATAGAGGTGCGAGGCTGCAATCCTTGAGTTATTTAGTGACGAATTTTGAGCATATTGGTAGGAATATACGTAGTAGTACAACAATACTTGTTACACGTTTGGAGATCCTTTGGGTACTAGCCTGCACGATGTTTAACTGTGGAAGGTAATTAGTGTACGAACAATGATGATGCCAGTGAATAGACTGAACACATACCACAATTCTTCAAGGTGAAGACCCGGATCCTCTGATTGATCGTTTTCCTTTATTGGTTCGTTCTGTTGAAGGTCCTGCGTTGAGGCGGCGACGTTTGAAGGGGCTGGTTGGCATGGCTGCCGGCGGTGAGAGTACAATGAGTTCTCGTAAAATGGAATTAAAAACGTCGCGCTTCGATTTGTTGATGCGATGATGGCAAAATGCCATGTGAACCTCCACAAGTGCACCTTTGAGTTTTGATTCGTATTGAAGGGGTGGGATCAGAACGTGGTTCTCGTATGCATGTCATGGTGACTTTCAACGTGGAAACTGACCTAGACATCGCCAACGGTTCTCGAGGCGAAATAACGAAAATCGTTCTTGATGAACGTGAAACAGATTTCTCGCCGACAGCTGCAATCGTGGAACTGACATATCCACCAGCATATGTTCTTATTAAGCTGAACCGTACGAAAGCGGTTCAGCTTGAAGGTCTGGAGAAGAACATAATACCGTTAGTTCCAATGGAGCGCACGTTTACCGTTATCCACGGAAATCACCCGAAATCCATAAGAAGACGGCAGCTGCCTCTCACACCAGCATACTCGTTCACGGACTATCGGTCACAAGGTCAGACCATCAATAACGCCATTATAGACATTGCGACACCACCTACCGCGGGGCTTACTCCATTCAATGTCTATGTCGCACTATCGCGAGCTCGTGGCCGAGACGGAAATCGGTTGTTGAGAGATTTTGACGAGAACTTGCTGATGACACATCCGTCAGAACATTTGAGAATTGAAGATGAAAGGTTGGCAATGATGGATCGGGAGACGGAGCAATGGTGGAAAGAAAAGACGACACGTGAAGTAGTGTTAGAAGACATTGAGATGCTGTAGTACCAGTTGTGCGAGTTAAGGTGTATACTGTATGACAAGTGGGCGCTGCGAGTTTTGGTCCACGTTTCGCGATGGTGGCACAGAAGGCAAAGAGACTACGATCATGGCATACGCAAAGGGTGCGAGATCTACCAGTGATGCGTCAAAGTGCGCGCAGGTCAGCTACGAGGTGTGATTAGGCAGTGCGAGCTCCACCTATTTACACCGTTCGCCACCCGGTTACACCAAAGGCAGTTACTAAGTGAGGAGGGTAAAGCTGCGAGCACCGCTCACATTCTCGTTCCTTGCCAGAGTCGCCTACTTGGTAAGTAGTAGTAAGATAAGTAGTGAGAGAACTGGATGCCAAATTTGTCCATAAATTCCCATGTGTACACAAGTTGGTTCTCTTCAGCCACAATTATCAGCCGTAGTGACCTTGTAAACAAGGTAACAAAGTACCCTGTTTAGAAGGAACGACTAAGTATCTTCATGCTATTGGGTCTGGCTAGGGGAGACTAACAAAGTACTGCATCGCATATTTGAAGCTAAACCTAATTCACTTGGACGCACTGGTCTCGGCCACCACTGAGACCCTGTCACGTTTTGACCACAGCTTCCCCGTCTCAGAATAGGCTATGACGCTCCCCCACCTCACGCAATCTTCCTGGTATCACGCTACGCTTCCGAGACTGCCTTATTGTTGCAGCATTTGATGTGGCATGTGATGGATCAGCATCAACTATCATTGATCAAGTTTCAGGCTGGCACCTCATGTCAAGCAGCTATTCTCGAGTCTTTACGAAGTTCAGAGTCGCCACAGCGCTGCTCTGGCATCCGCCATTGGCAACCATGTCATCCAAATCATAGCCTTCGAACGCTTGATCGCAGAGCAAAATGCTTATTTATGAGGTGTATTCCCGTTTGACTTTGCACGTTCGCAGGACCGAGGCTGCAGTCATGTCCGACGCACTTTTTCAAAATTCATTTTACATCAGCAACGCCTTCAATTCCATTCTATACGGTAAGTACTGAAACTTGCTGACCACGGAGATATTGATGTTTTACAGGCGTGGAGTTGGTGCTATATTTCAACACTATTCAAGCATACCTCGAAAAAAGATTAGAGCACAGGTCCTCCGACAAATTCTACATGATATTCAGCTCTATATTACTCTTTCTCATCACAATTTTTGTTGCCACGCAATCAGTACTGGGACAGGAGATGTGGGTTATCAATGCAGGCTATCCTGGTGGGGCGGCTGCATACTTTGCTGCCTACGTTTCGGCGTGGTATCAGACGATGGGTTCGGTTGCGTCTATTCTGCTGCAGTTGATGAGTGATGGCCTACTCGTGAGTGTACTTTCAAGTTCGCCAGAGAGCAAATGGACTGATGAGTAGATTCATCGATGTTTCACGGTTTGGTGCGGAAGTTACCGCGTAATTATCGTTCCCTGTTGCCTCTGGACAGCGTCCCTTGGTAAGATTTCCGCCTGCTTCCCTTGCGATTGCTCATTCAATAAACAGTGTTCGGTATTCTCGTACTCATCACGAGTGGGTCCCCGAATGGTGATTTTTATGAGGGGCTGGCTGCACGCGTTGGATTGGTGTATTTTTCCTTGACAATTGGCCTCAATGTCGCCACTACATGTCTTATCTGTGGCCGCATAATGTTTCATGCAATGCGCATGCGAGACCACCTCGGCCCTGAAGTTTCGAAGACTTACTTCACTGCAGTAGCCATGGTTGTCGAGTCTGCACTGCCATACACATTATTCGGGATCGCATTTCTCGTGTCATTCGGCCTTGACAGCGATACCTCGATTCTCTTCCTCACGTTTTATGGCATGTTTACCGTGAGTGGTTCGTAGTTGTCATATCCGAGGCCTTTTGCTCAATGCTTTCTAGTGCATTTCACCACAAATGTTAATTCTTCGCGTTGTGAGACGAAGGGCATGGTGTATCGAAACAGTACAGCCAACGACTCTGGTATTCGCCACCCGCTCAGCTGCAGCGCCTCATATCATTTCTGAGACCGAGATTGGTGGCCCAGTGATTTAGTCCTGTAGGAAGTCCGCTGAGCATTAGTTACTCTCGGAACTACTGGAACTGTTTCGGTAACTACTGCTGTTCTTTCTATCTTAGCCGATCAATATTATTGTTGATTTACCAATGAGAAGTCTTCGATCTCAAATAGATGGGACCTATGTGGTATATGGATGTTGGTCCTAGTACTCCTGTGGTCTATGACAGTGGGAGTACCGCGCCAACAATAGTACTTTGATCGCAGACAGATATTATAATAATAAAGTGAAGGCATTGCTTGGTGCTCGGCCCCCTTCGAAAATCTTGATGGATCAGATATTGGCCCATCAATCGCCCACAGGACATCTGAGAGGACAAACCTAGACAAGGAAGCTGTTCTGGTTAGTCCAGATGCTATGATTGCCCTATCACATCAGTGCCAATGCGGAACCTTGATGATTACACACACTTACCATACATATATGTGCCCCCTTGTGGTGCCATGCCTGACGATCATGATGGTAGCAACACCAATCAGCTGAGCTAGTGGTTCCGCAGGGGCGAGACAGGATCAGCGTTTCGATGTTCTGATCAGTGGAAATCTCACCGTTTTCCAGGGGCAAGGATGGACGAAACAACTGACTGAGCACCACACGACCTGAGTTCGCCTGGGCGTGCAACACCCGTGTTCCGTATGAATACATTTCAAGTGTACAGGTCAACTAAACAAAACAAAGTGGGACAGCTTACAGGAGGGTACGTTTTGCAGTGGGGTGTGAATTATATACGAAACCTGTGATAGGCTCAGCGTGCAAGTTTTAAACTGCCTGGATCTGCTTCGTTGTAGATTCTATCAGACTGCAATGATTAAATGATGGCTAGATGTTGTAATACTTTACGATGAGCACTGAGCGTTGAGTATTCTCTGCATGGATTGCGACATGAGGGATGCACGATCAAATGACCACGTCATGAAGCTGGAGGATACTCGAGTCAAGCTCGATCCAGACAGACCTAGACTCTAATTCAAAATGACAGGGTACGTAAAGTCCGTGAGTTAATTAATTATGGACCGCGGCCGGCCGGGTTCTCGGCCAAGCTGGGTCAGGAGGTATTCCGAGTAACCAAGTAGCAAGTAACCAAGAGCACGACCTGAAAGCGCTCTTCTAGTCGTCCTGAGCTCGTTTCCTCTTTCACCGTGTTTTTTTTACTGATTTTCTGCTAGCAGGCGAGCCTGTGTCAGTTCTGGCGAAAACTAGAACTAACTTACTAGTTTTACTTGGACACCGTGGAACGTTGGTGAACGTGTCTAATGAAATCTGGGGACATGACAAGACTACGCCCACCAAATTTAACGATCCAACCAAAATCACACTCGTTTGAATCCGAGTCGAATGGATTTCTCGATACTTCTTCTGACTCAATATCAGAATCTCCGCTCGCGTCAGACGATGAGCTCCTGCAACTATCTTCACCTTCATCCTTCTCGAGCCCCATAGCCTTGAACATTCCTGATGCCGAAGAGTTATCGCGGGACTTGGCAGAACTGGCTCAGTTACGCCAATCAGTGCAGAAAAACCTTCGACTCAGACCCATTCGTTCGTTTAGCAGACTACCGAAGACTGCTGTTCCAAACATCACCACTAACCCATGGCATAAAGATAAACACGACAATCACCAGCGTTTCGATTCAGATTCTTCCTCTCCAAAAAGTGCAGGTAGCACGTACCTTACTCCCGTCGAATTCCCCACTCCTCCTGCATCCTCTCCCCCCGATCCTCCAATCCGTACCCGGAAAACTCCACAACGCTCTGTGTCTATGCCCTCCCCCCGCATGCCAACTTCTGCTATGGATCCTGCTGAACTACATACCCGCCTTGCCTCTCCTACTCGCCCACTTCTCATCGATACCCGCCCTCTCGCCGCCTATGCCGCGACTCACCTTTTAGGAAGTATTAATATTGCCATGCCGTCTCTCATTCTCAAGCGCTCAAAACGTACAATACCTACGTTCGCATCTCTTCGCCAGTTCATCACCAGTGACGAGGGAAAGGACGTTTTTGATGCCTGGGATATTGGCGGAGATGTCGTCATCGTTCATGGGGAAGAGACTGATGAACGGGAGCAAAATCATACGGGTGTCATTGCATGGGCCCTGTTGTCACTCCTTGCAGGGTTGCTGAGCCCCGAAAAGGTGTGGTATCTCCGTGGAGGAATTGTAGGTGCTCAACTTCATGCGCGACTCCGAAAGTACATCACCAATACGCCCCGTTCGCCCTCTTCTCCTTCCAAAGCCTCTTTGCAACCACCAAAACCACCCAAGAGTGCAAAGGGAAGGGCATTCCTTCAACTTGACACCCACAGTGCTGGGCCTAGTAGCAGTGTGCAAATCGAGCAGGAAGATCATGGTCATGGGGGCGAAGTGGAAAGACCAGGACACTCCCCATTACCTGCTATACCTGGGCTCTCGCTCACCCTTGACAGCCCTATGAAAACCGACCCTCCGCCCTCCCGACTTTCCTTTCGCCGTCCACATCCCCCACGGAGGTCAAATGCTTCGAATCTTAGCGTTGAGAGTGTCAAGGCAGACGGAACCTGCGATGCAGCAAACGGTAGTGTGGAGGGTGGGCAGGCTCTGATGAAACTCCCCAAACACGCTGTGACAACTCTCCCGCGGCTTCAGATTCACACAGCTCCTTCGCGCAGTTCAACCCTCCCCATCACACCCTCGCAACAGGTCGTATTCCTCCACCCACCGCCCGCATCCCCGTCACATCTCACGCTTCTCCATTCGAATCATACACCTCCGGCGAGCGCATTTAACTCGAGTTTCAATCTCAATCTCACCAATGGTAGCTGTATTGGGAACGCGAGCCCACCTCCACCAATGCCTATGACACCATCCACTGCACGGCCGACGCCAACAACATCCACGCCCTGCACTACATCCTCCGATGCCGAAAACGAGCGCGAAGAGTTCATTATCTCTACGATCCTCCCTAACTTCCTCTTCCTCGGGCCTGAACTCATTTTGCCTTCACATGTTTCGGAACTGGAATCCCTGGGCGTGAAGCGAATCATTAACATTGCGGCTGAGTGCATAGACGATCGCGGTCTAATGCTTCGAGAACGGTTCGAGCGGTACGTGCATATTCCAATGAGGGATTGTGTCGAGGAAGAAGGAGTGCGTAAAGGGTTGAGTGAGGCCTGTGATGTGCTTGGTAAGTACTTCGCCTTCATATTCATATTTCCTTTTGATGGGATATGTCATGCCCCACAATTTAACGTCTCCACCGGTGGCAATTTTTAAGCAATTCCACGCTTTTGTCGTGTTCTATCATATCTTTTTCCTTGATATACGTGGACTGATTCCTAACGCAGACGAGGCCGCTCTCTACAACGCACCCACTTATGTGCACTGCAAAGCCGGTAAATCGCGTAGCGTCACGGCAGTAATGGCGTACCTCATCCACAGTCACCACTGGCCGCTGGCGCGTGCATACCAGTTCGTCTTAGAGCGCCGCAAAGGCATCAGCCCGAACATCGGGTTTGTGAGCGAACTCATGGCATTTGAGGAAGCAGAGCTCGGACGTATAACGAAAGCCAAGCCGTCTGCTGCGGTGGGTGAAAGCAATGTTGGCGACGTCGGCGTGGGCACCGGGAGGCGGCCAGCGCATGTGAGGGAGAGCTTACCCCCAATGCCTTCGTGGGACCGCGAGGAGGAAGAAGCAGGGGAGGAAATGGGCCAGGACATGGAGATAAGGGACCGGGAGGGGCGGTATCGACATGTCAGGCGGGCACCAGTGGATGAGAACACTTTGCAGCCGATGAGGCGAGTGAGTAAGGCAGGTCTCGAGAGTGCCGGATCGATACCAGTACTAAATGGGGATGACGAGGATTGGACGTGATGCTACATAGGAACTAGGTCATACCTTGATGGGTTGTTTTCTGATTGGGATACTTGGAGAGTTATATCAAACCTACCGATTACGATGAGTTGATTCCATCGTACTAACTTCAACAGGCAAATTGGAATTCGACTGCGTCTGATTGCTTACTACCATACGCACAGATAATTTAAATCAATTTTACACATCTTAGTCCAATGTCGCGAAGCTTGACGAAAGGTAATTCCATTTGGCAGTTTCGCGGGGTACAGGGTCATCGAATCGTTTATGTGCATACAAAGAACCAGCTATCAGACCCAGACCCATTCATCATCCAGCCGCCGCTGCACGTCAGTAATCCTTGTCCTCAGGTTCTGAACCTTGTCAGTTTTGATGGAATACCGCTCAATCAATTCGACAATCTCATTCAATGTGTGATCCTCTTCGGGACGAGAGCGAGCTAGTAGTGAAGGCACACTGGATTGAATCACCGCGTGGATATGGCTTTTTCCCGCCGTCTCGTAGGCCTTCATGGCAAGCTTGATGACAGGACAGGAGATGGGCCCTTTGGGCGCAAGTAGGAAGAGAATCTGCATGGTGCATGTCAGGTCCACGATGTATGTCATGATCCGCGACAAATTGAGCTTCCTGGGTTGAAGTCTGTCCTGAGCTCGTTCGAGATAGTCAAGCTATACGTTCACTCACGTTGGGTGGTGGATCTCATGAACCCACGTAGGTGTGACAATGCCCGTAGCGACGGGCACAACGTGAGGGATGAATGCATGTGGCATAAGGATATTTACTATCGCTGGGACTACAGCTAGGCCGAAATCAAAATCGCTGCAGATGCTCCATAAACTGAGACGTGTCCCATGAACGACGATGATTCATGATTTGTTTGTTGTATCTGGAAGGTCATTATTGTCCATATCTCGTAGAAGGAGTTGTTTGAACTGAGACCGAGCAAGTCCTTGGCAGATACGAGTCAGAAGGGCATGATGAGAACTCGCGCATAGTTGACGTCTTACCCGGTTGGGGTTGTCGAAATTGCAAACGGCGATGATATCGGCATGGATCGCAGACAGACACGCCCACGTAGTGTAACCTGTCAAGTGTACACCTACAGCGAGACCTCTCCAATGGCCTAAGAATGCCGCGAGTCAGAAAATTGTCTAAGAACATGTTGCAGTGGTGAAAACTAACGTTTCTTGCCAATGCTATTCGGAACACAAGGTTGCGCTGAGAGACATGCCCGCGACTGAGCCACCATGAAGGCCTCGCGTGTGACCACCGATTTTTAGCTCGGCGAATTCGACCCTTGTTTTCGAGTCATAGGATAGTTATACCAATGCCTAGATGGAGCAATCATGATGTTAGTGGAAAAATTTAGTCAAGATTTGTACGAGTTCTTACTGGAGATGCAAAGAGGAGGTTTTGGCCGGTGATGAGACATATTGAACAATTTGAAAGGATAGGGGCACTCTGAGCAGAGTAACGGAGTTACCCTTGGTCACCGACTCACTCAGGAACAAGGTCTACAGACATCTTGCAGCTGAAAAACTTGAAGGATAGGCGTCCAAGCAAGGCAAAACATCGTTTGAGCTTTATCTGCGTCCCGCGTCAGCAACGCTGGCGCAGACCATGAACTCATGGCTCAGGCAAATATTCGAGACCTTATGCTTCCCGGCTGCTAGTTAACGGCTTTCCCGAGAACGCGAACATCTGGTGATCGGAGATGATGCGGAAACAGGAGAGTGTAGTGATGAAAACCGAGTCGACGTCGGCAGTGAAGCGGCTGCAGTGCACGTCCAGTGGATCCGTTATCTTTCCACGCACTCAGAGGTCCTCATAGATACGCGCCCTCTCGCCTGAGCCTATGGCGTCCCTCGGCCTCGTGCTGCGATAATCCTATACACAGTTGAGTCAACGCTCCCTATCGAGTCGTGTTCCTCCGCCCGCCACCTGCATCTGCACCCGCTGCGAGTGCCCTTAAACGGGTTTCGCCTCATCGATAACACCATTGAATAGCCGACGCCAATAACATCCACGCCGGCACCACGACCTTTGATACTATGTATATCTACGATTCATCCCAACGCAACCGATTTTACACATCCTAACTCCAGTATTGCGAAGTCTGACAAGAATTGGTTAGATATGGTAGTGCTCACATTAGATACAGCCACTGTCATCGAATCGATCAAGTAAATGGTGTCATAGATTCCCGTACTCGACTTCCCCATCGATGACTGTTGCTGTCACTCTGGCACCTAAAATCTCCTCCATGGGCACCGTCATAATATCACGATCCAGTACGATGAAATCAGCTTTCTTCCCGATTGATAATGAGCCAAGGATATCCTCAGAGAAAGACGCATAGGCAGCGTCGAGCGTCATGCCTTTGAGTGCTTCAGTACGTGTGAGGCGTTCGGATGGGTACCTAGAAAGAGGGTGTAAGGGTGTCAGGTCCGTTTGAGAATATGACAGTAACTTACCATCCTCCAGGACCATGAGGCGAGTCGCCTTTTACGGAGAGGCGTGAAATTGCGGCGTAGAAACCAAGAAGAGGGTTGATGCCCTCGACAGGGAAGTCAGAGCCGAGGGGCAATACTTTTTTTGGAGACACACTGTGGCGCATCAGCAATGGCACAGTACGAGCCAAGAAGTGAAAGTAACTCACTCGAGCTGAGTTCGATACGCATACGCGCCTTGGATTCTCTTTGGACCCTGAAGGAACTCAATTTGCTTGCACTCTAAGATAAGATGAAAATGGCCGACATACCAGACGATCCTCGGCGTACCACATGTCGCTCGTCCTGTAAGGCGAGTTATGTCAGCTAGACAGGTGACAAAGTGTATCGGTGGACTCACGCATGGGTCGGTTGGACACTAAGTATCACTGGAAATTCAATTCGACAATGTCAACTTGAAAAAAAGGAAGACTTCTTACCGCCTAACTTTCCAGTCCGCTTCAGATCATCATGCGTCAAGATCTGCGCATGCTCAATACGAGGTCGCAAGGTGTCTATAGAAAACGAAGTGTTGTCGGCGAGCATATCCTCATAGATGTCAAGTACGACGTGATTGGCCCGGTCCCCAATGCAGTGGATGTTCTATATGTAGGAGACAAAACATTGAGTCCGTGCAAGCACGGAAGAGTAACCATGATAGAAGAGAATCTAGACTTACAACCTGCCAACCATCTGTCGAAAACTCCCGTACAAACTTCGCAAGCGCTTCGGGCTGCACCCGCATGATACCGCTTGTTGACGGATTATCACTGTACTAATTCATTTGTATCAACACGACTATATTTGAACGGCGACGTAGGGGAGTGCTCACAGGCTCAAGGAGCGCAGCGCCAAACGAACCAAGGGCACCTATTGAAGATGAATATAAGGAAAACGGGAAGAACATTGATTCGAAAAAAAAACGGACCATCCGTGAAAAGTTTGACGCTGCGCACTGTCAACCGTCCACCAACACCATGCTGGATCAGTCTTGGGATCTGGTTTCCCCAATAGTCATCGGAGTTCACACTGCCCATGAGATAGAATCGCAGCTGGTGCATGTATCAACAGACTGCTACCCTCGAGAAGACAAAAAACTGACAGGCAGCTTCTGAGTCTCTGAAAGTCTGGAAGACAATCAGTTCGAGATCTAGAGGGCAAGTTTGCGTCACGCACTTCTTATAAAATTGTATTTCTTCTGGGACCGACATTGCGTCGTGCACGCTAGTCAGACCCACTGCGAGCGCGTCAGTAGTAGCGCGGGTAAAGTACTCCATCGCGCGGGCCTCGTTGAATGGTTGTGAGGGAATGAGCTCCATAGCATTGTCAATGAATAATCCTGTTTTTCGATAAATGCTTCAGACGAGGAGGTACTACCTCAAGAACGGAAGCCCTGGAGAAGAGAACACACCGGTGGGTTTTCCATGGTCATCGCGAATAATGAGCCCACCATCGACGTCCTCCGGGAGAGGTCCCATAAGTTGCAGCACGCGGTTGGACACCCAGGAAGCGTGGACATCTATGCGAGCAAGGGATATCCGGCGACCCCGAAGGAGTGGTTCCCTGTCAAAGTCATCCTGGGTGTTGTGAGGAGCTGTGAAGAGGAAGCGAATAATGAGACATACAGCATGAGGATATTGCGCTCCAGGCCATTTATTCTGGTCCCATCCCATGCCCTCTATCCATCGAGTTGGATCACGTAGAATGTCAGGGTGCGATATAACATAAGCTTTTAAGTAGCTCAAGACCTCTTTCATGCCTTCAGTATCATGATGGTGGACTACGAAGTAAGTTGAAGCAAACCATCTACAGAGGCACAGTCCTCCAAGTTGAGATCCATCTTAAAACCATACTGCAACATATGAGCATGGGCATCTTCAAGGGTCGCGAATGAGGGCTCGAATTTCGAATTAAATTCGGTGACTTCATACCACTCAGCCCGGGAACTACGATACTATCAGGTTGAATGGTTATCACTCTCAAAGACGGATCGAGAAAATTGAATGGCCAAGGTAACTGGATGACGCTTGAGATCTCTGACAGCCGTTGTTTCCTCCAACGCGTGGTTATGTCCTCTGTCAAGGGCAGCGCATGAGTTGGATGCATCATCAAGGCAATGCTGCGCGTACCTATATCACCTGTGTCTACGATGAGAGTATCGTGCACGACGATGCACTGGATATTCGGAATATCCGAGTCGACCGTGTAGATTTTGCTGTTCGCAGAACAGACTGCATAGTCTAATGAATGGGTTTGAGGTCGAAGCCATGTCGACCCTAGCGCAACTAAAAGAGCGAGAGGCCATGATCTAGCCCACCAGCCTCGATGCTGAGGTGAATTGACACTAGTACTCTGCCCACTTGTTGGCTTAACTGGGAGTAACGAACCCATGTGGTGCGAGACAACGCGTGAAGCGAGTTGGGAATCTTGGGATACATGCGGAAGTAGTATGACACATGAGTGCAACAATGTACGTTATACAAAGTCTACTTATAAAGGCCGAAATCGGGTGAACAAACCTTAGACTAATCTAGTCGGCTTCAACTTCGGGCTTGTCTGCGCACTTACGCACCGGCTCACGCTTCGGCTGCTCATCTCGTCGAAGTCTGACCCCTCCGCTTTGAGTTCAGCATGACCCATCTTTTCCAACTTCTTATCGAAATCGCGCTTCCGATATCCTGACACAATGCGTTCGAGGAGTTCGGAAGTAGACACACCCGGTGTACGCCGTGTGGGAATGAATTTACCTGACAGTGTCAACTTGAAAGGAGTAGAGAGAAGAGAAAGGGAACACACCTTGGGTCTTTACAAATGCATACACGTCATCATGACCCTCTGCCACATACGGGAGTTCGTCGTGCGCAACGTAGTCGATATTCCACTTTTCAATAAAAGCTTGGTCGAGAACCCATGGGGAGTCAGGAATGATCTCGTCAACCCAGCGGCAGTGTCTCACAGCCTCACATCTATATAAGTGATGAGGAACTATTGACTTGTGGAGAACTCGGGCGTCATACCGCTCAGCATGCGTCATCACACAGCGTGCTTTATTAATGATGACATCCTCGTCAGAATTAACACCAACAAGTAAATGCACAGATGGAAACGACAGCTTGGCTTGACGTAACTGCAGAGCATGACTAGCTCAAAGATCAGTATGATTGCGCAGTTAGGGAGGGTCGGATGTACCCAAAGTGAAATAGATCATATACTCCTATTACGAATTAGCAAAAAGCAAGTTTGTCTAAGTTGAAGGCATGCGCACCATCCGCAAAAACTCTAACAGGCCGATTTAGTGGTGGCTGGTTAATGTTGTAGGACCGAGAGGACTGGCCCTCCATCGCCTTGCGTACAAAAGCTTGGATATCGTCGGGAGTGAGGGCAGCAGGATTGAAGGTAGACATTGCTCCGGCAGTAGGCATTGGCTCATCGGGCGCAAGGGCAGTGGGTTTCGAAGTTGAAGTAGACGGTAACACATCATCGATCTGAGAGGTTAATGTTGATGCAGATGAAGAATGGTGAAGGGTAGGATGCAGCGATGTCTTGTTGAAGGGATGCGAACTGGCGCTTGCCGTGACGCTGCTCTCTACATCACCGTCATATGTTTGGGAGTCAGTGCCATCGTCCGAGAGCATGCTGGAGGCTAACTGATGACGTGCACGAGATGCTGCCTTTAGTTGAAATGGGTGCTTGGCGGAACGAGAGAGGGGTGGAAGAGGAATGGTGGAGCCTCCGTCATCAGTGAGAGGGTCATTGTCTTCTTCTGACCTGAGGGGCAAACGAGGTGAACTGTGTGGGTAAGGGAAGGGAAAAGAAGAAGTACTTGCGCGTCATAAGTGGGAGAATCCATCGATGGGTGATGCTTTGCAAACGAACGCTTTGAATGAAGAATCTTCTTGTGGTGATGAAACGATTCAGTAGATGAATCCATGGTAGTCCGATGCTACTCTTGATATCCAAAATTTGGTGACATGATAATGTTCTATTGGATAAGATCAACGCACGTGCAGAGGAGACAATAATAAATTGAATCATTTTGTATAAAAAATCTACATGATAACCCAAAAGTCGTGGTATGTTTAAAATCTCGGAATGATAACCAAAAGTCATCCACGTGGTACCTTCAGTAGAGTCCTACTCTATTGTCCTGACTCCTCATGCCCTCATTGTCGTCGATGATGAGCTACGTAGCGCCGCGCGTCAGGTCACGCGTCACACAGTACTGGCGGGTGCGTGGTGTACTTGTACTGCACTTGTATGGTAATTATTTATTTACTAGTTGCGGTTTGACCGCTTTTGACCCGGATCAGCCCCTTGCATCACGACTCCAAACCCACCTCAGTCCGCGCCAGTCTTCCCCGGAAGCCTTCACGAGAACGTAGCCCTCGGAACCGTAGGCAAAGGCAAACGTACAGAGGACGTTAGCAGAGGAGAAGTCGAAGAAGCAGTGCAGAGTTGCGATGCTCGAGTCTTGGGTGCTAGGTCTAGACCAAAGCTACGAGACGCTATTAAGCGGCACTGGTGCAGAAGGCATCCAGTTGAGCTGTGGACAACGCCAGAGACTTCGCAATCGCGCGGGCGCGGATACGTGACCCTGACGTCTTGATTCTCGGTAAGTTCCCATCTCCCTCTCATATTCTTGCCCTAATCTTGTAATCTCGTTTCAGATGAAGCAACATCAGCCTTAGACCCCCCAACTCGCGCACTTATCATGGCCGCTATTCGCCGATGGCGCCAAAACCGCACCATCATCATCATCATCACCCACGACGTCGCCTCAATCGAAGAACAAGACTTTGTCTACGTCATGCGGGAAGGCTCTGTCGTCGAGCAAGGGTTCCGATCGGATCTCCTGCAAGCAGGATGACGAGTTTGCCCGGATGCTTCGTACTGGGGGGCTTGATGTTGAAGACGAGCTTCCTGGGTACGACGCAGGTCGCAGAGATCCTCGCAGCGGAGGATGACGACGAGGACTGAGCTCCCGGTTCACGAACGACACATGAGCATGGCGCCTACGCTGGGCGGTATGCGCCCTGTCACTGCGACACTTGGAAACTGGATGTTCGATGTCGTCGCGGAACTTACGAAGACGAGTGTGCCTCCACCGCCTATTCCTACTGCGGCAGAGAAAGACAAGGACTGGCGGATGAGTCGATTCATTCCCCCTAGTGCCTTACCCAGAGAACAGATGCCGCAGTTCGAGGGTGGAGCAACTGGACGACTACTGGAGACCGAGCAGCATGTCGATTGTCATTCCCGAGGTTGCGGTTCCTGCTCGTACATACGACGGTCGTCGTTTCAGCTTGCAGTTCACACCCACCACCCCGAGCTTTCCTGTACGGGAGCCTGTGTCCATGGTTGAAGATGATGAAGGAGTTCGAGACTGAGAAGGAGGCGTTAAAGCGTAGTGCTGAGGAGGCTGCGAATAGGAGAGGGCGCAGAGAAGCGCAAGCACCATGACGCACTACAGAGTGTCAGTCGTACTTCCATCTGGCGAAGAACCCCAAGACCAATCTGACATCTCCCCACCCCCAAGGCCTCTTCGCCATCCTCCACAGCCGTATACCCCACCATCCCCCCAAAAACCAGCCGTTTTCATCGGGCTCATCATCTGTCCTCCTAAGTGGAGCGATGACACCCATATTCTCATTCCTCCTTTCGCGACTCATCGTTCTAGTCTCCGCAGGCGGCTCAGACGCAAGTATGATCAACAGCTACGGCGGACTCGTACTCGGCATCGCAGCCCTCGACAGGCTTCTCCTCGGTTCCGAATTCTTCGTTATGGAATCAGCGCCATGCGCTGGGTCACTCGTCTCCGCGACATCGCCTTTCAGCCGTGTTCTTAGCCAGGACAAGAGCTGGTTTGACCGTCCTGAGAACGGTGCAGCCAAGCTTCACCCAAGTCATCGTGAAAGATGGGGATGATGCGCGTACGCTGATCGCTTGTGGTGTTAGGCCAGATCGTTGCTGTTGGCGCAATGATGACTGTTGGACTTGTCTGGGCTATGGCTTGGGGGTGGCAGTTGACGCTTGTTGGACTGGCTATTGGGCCTGTTTTTGTTGGAGTTATGGGTCTGCAGACAGGTTTGATGGCGAAGTGCGAGGTGCGCAACTAAGAGGGCTCGTGAGGAGGTTGCGAGGGTGTACTACGAGGTGAGTTTTATCTTTGCTAGTTGTCATGAGTGACGTTCTGATTTGTTATCTAGTCGATTCTCAACGTCCGTGGTATTCGCGCTATGTCTCTTGAACCTGTTCTTCAGGCTCAATTCGACAAGGCCGCTTCAGCAGTGCTCTTTCCACTGGTGTACGCGGTGCATTCGTCGAGGGGTGTTCTTACTGGTGTAGCCAGTGCTCTCATCTACTTGGCCGAAGCGCTTCTCTTCTACGTCGGCGCTGTCCTCATCGCTAAGGGCACATACACATACCTCCAAATGTGCCAAGTCCTCAACCTCGTCGTGTTCACCGTCTCCATTGGCTCCCAACTCATGTCCTTCACTCAACGCATCGCCAAGTCCTGTCCTCGTCACGCACGATCTTCACGAGCTCATCAAACTAGACACAACCTGCAGCTCCGAGTCTCAGGGTATCCTCCGCCCTAGGGTGGAAGGCAATCTCGTCTTCAACAACGTATCATTCTCTTACCCCACCAACCTTGATGTATCCGTCCTGAACAAGATGTTCTTGCGCATCGCAGATGGAGAATGTGTTGCCATCGTAGGCGCTTCTGGATGTGGCAAATCAACTGTCGCATCCCTCCTCCAACGGCTCTATGAACCCACCTATGGCATGATCTCAGTAGGCCTCAACGAGCTCCGCGCGACAGATATCAACCACCTCCGTGACCACGTCGTCGTCAGCCAATTTCTCAACCTCTTCGACGCCAGCATCCGTGAAAACATCGCATACGGACGAGCAGGCGAGGATATCGGGATGAGCGACGCAGACGTCGAAAGGGCAGCACGTGCTGCAAACGTCCATGACTTCATCATGTCGTTACCACAAGGGTATGACACCCTCATAGGGGAGAACGCATCTCTAGTCTCGGGTGGTCAAGCCCAGCGCCTCCAAATCGCTCGCGCACTCGCACGCCCAGCCAAGATTCTCATTCTAAACGAATGTACCTCAACGCTGGATGGTGCGAACCAGACAGCTATATTGGAGACAATACGTGCTGCCAAGGTTGGGAAGACTACTATCATGGTGATGCATAAGGTGCCTGTGATGAAGATATGTGATCGGGCGCTTGTTGTTGAAGATGGGCAGGTGCGCGAGTCAGGGACTTATGAGAGTTTGATGGAGCACAAGGGGGTATTTGCGAGGCTTGCGAATAGGGGCGAGTGGGTTAGCGAGTAGTCGCTGGCTCGACTCTGAGTTTCTTTCTTTCCTTCTTTCACCCACATTCACTTTTTTCTTTTTCTTTTTCTTGTTTTCTTTCTTATTTTCTCTAACGTTATACCGCGATAGATAGCATTCTCGCTATTGTTTTTGCTTTCTTTCTTCACTGCTTTATGACTGGGCGCATATGACATTTTCATGACTACGCATTTGTAGTACTACCACAATCATTCATTTGTACTTTAGTTATTATCAAGGAATCTATATGTTGTACCAAACCTTGCTTGCAGAGTTTTTTTTGGATGATCGACGTAACAGTGCATCAGGGGAATGGCCAGTCATCGGGGGAATGCAATTACTCGTGTTTATAAGGTCTACCACCAGGGTTTCTGGGAACCTCGATTGTGGAAGATATCAATCTCATTCAGGAATTTTCCATAATGATTCCCGCCCACCAACCACCCCATAACGCATCTGATTCTGAATGCAAACTGCTTAAATACACCGTTTGAATTGAAAGCTACATATCGCCATGTGCCTATGATACAACTCATGGTGTGCGGAGCCATGGCTAATGAGCCAAGTGGGTGGGCAGTACTGTAGGGTGGGCACTTTGACGAGCGATCAATCAAGCTATTGATTAACTTACTTAACCACAACTGGTAAGATAGGCCTCATCCAAACCCATCTACATCACATGATGTGACATTTTTGTGATGTTCTGTTACATCATGTGACCTTGTTTGAGCGCCACCGTACATTTCTTGACATAAGTGTCCATAGATATTTTGGGATAGGATTCCGAGTCATACGATAGGGACGGTATGAATTTAATGAATGTTGCCATGCTTGCTTACCATCGAGTCCTTTTCTATAGGCGTCCATGAATCTCAACGAGCAAGTGGAAAAACTGGCATCGCATAGTGTCAGCACACTGCCGCATCTTGGAATCAAGATTCACAAATAGGGACTCACCGGTGAATGGCAAGCAGAGGAACCAAGTCCAAAGACTGAAGGACATTCTGTTCAAGATCGGCTTCTTTTGACGACGCAGGAAGTTTGTGATAGATTCATTCCGAGTAGCCCCAACATTGCTCGATATAATTCAGCTCACAGTGAAATTTAGGAAAGACCATTTGTAGTGTGTGAGAGTGGTGGATTTGTAGGGTAGGCTCTGGAGAAGGGTGCCATCTTTAGTTTAATTTTAGTCTTAGTACTCCAGCCAGCACAATAAAAATTGATGTTTCCTTACATTCTCATGGCTTGTGTGGCTTAACTTTCTCTTCTTCTGGCTGCTTTAATTGTAGGCTTTCAAATTTGCAATTTGAGAAGGCCTTTTGCGAGGCATAATGGTTTTGGCGACGCTGAGTTATTGGTGCATTGACACCGCTGTCACACTGTACAGCCACAATGTAACAAGGCAGCAGTACCTCAATCACTATAAAGACTACTACTCATTCACAAATGCAAAATAAGGAATTCTGTTCCATCAGATTGCCCGCACCATGCATACGAACAATCTGATGGAATGGATTCTCTTAAAAGTGTCTCTACAAACATCCTTAGGCATTGTAACGCAAATGTCACGAAAAGTCATGTGATCTACATGTATTTGAATGAGGCCTATCTTACATAATTGATTAATTACCATACAAGGCAGGTGCTGGTACTAGTGTTGCCGCGAGGCGAATCGAATTGAGGTGGAAATTTTGGGTAAATCGAGACAGTTCTGGTGATGTGTTACCTCATCTATGTTTGGACTTGTCTTGAGAGACGCTTGAGAGATGCTTGAGAGCAATACTTTTGGGATAGTTCAGGGACACTCTCGTACACATGCACACCATACTTTTTTGGTATTTATGACTCTCGTACAAAGTACACACCATAATTTATGGCTCTCGGAGATGCAGTGCGCCAAAACCTTGCAGTTATCAGGCCAAGATCAAGAGATAGGCTCACGATATGATTGAGATATCAGATCAGAATGATAACTGCGCTACTAGTAGTACATGAAAATCAAGCTGTCTAGGTTTCTGAGATCACTGATAGTGAGTGGTACAGTTCTTTGTCCACAAAATTATTCAAGAAATAATCGTCGAACACCTCCAGTGAGTTCCCAGAATTCACATCCTTGCCCAATGGTCCTTGATAGACAGGTATAATCTCCACCGCTGTCATATACTGGATCCGAGCACCCCCAATACCACCTATGAGCATCCCTACCCCCGACCCGACCCCCTGTTTCCCCATCCGCTCCATTCCTCCTTCCCCGACAATGCACAAAGTGCATCTCAGCAGGATTAGCCCTGCTACCTCTGCCTGACCCCATTCCACTTTTCCGACACTACCCCTATGTCCTCCGACCCCATACCCCTTCCATCTGATCCTACCTGGGGTTCTGCTCCTCTGCCCTATCGGTCCGCCCGATCCTATTCCTACTCCCTCCACTTTTCTGACCCACACGGATCTGTCAGTTCCACTTGTATTCCCCCACCTGACTAACAGTCTGTCTGACCGCCTCACTGGTCCACTCCTAGACTAGGAACCACTCAACTGGTCCTATCCCCATTTAGTATCATAGTTCCGCTTTTCGGATCACTGGTAATCCCTATACCCTAGCGATTCTGATCCATCGCGTACATACTGTTCCCCAAGCCTTATTCTTGTATGTCTCAGTCATCCTATTGTAATCCTGTACACTCAGCACATAGCCTTCTGCTATGCTATGCTCATCACTTAGAGTATACAAACATATGTACAATTGTCTGTAGATACTCAGTCTGAATATTACCTTTTCTAAGCCCTGCTCTTCTGTTCTTTGACTTGGGCCTGATCCTAGTCAACTCCTGTTAAAAGCCAGCCTAGGGGATTGACTCCCTAGGTCGGCCATCCTGCGATCCTGCGATCCTGCGATCCTCCATTCCTCCGATCCTCCGTTCCTCCGATCCTCCGATCCCCCGATCCCCCGATCCCCCGATCCCCCGATCCCCCGATCCCCCGATCCCCCGATCCCCCGATCCCCCGATCCCCCGATCCCCCGATCCCCCGATCCCCCGATCCCCCGATCCCCCGATCCCCTGTTCCCCCATTCCCCCGCTTCCCTGTTCCTCCGTCCCTCCACTCCTCTGACTTCCCGTGCGTCGGAACTAGACCCCGCACTCTTGCATCCATCCCCTCCGTTCCGCTCTGCTTCGGACTTCATCCAAGCAGTTCCTTCCGCTCCGCTTCTACTGTTGGTTCCAACTGCAGTAGTCTCCTGCCTCCCTCCTGTCGGGTGGAACAACCCCCCCTGACTTTCCCGCACTCACCTAGTAGTCCGTTGGTCCTCCATTCAGAGGACCCCCATTCCAATGTCCTGTCGGAACCCATAGAATTCGTGTTGAACTACATTCTGAAATTAGGGGCATGTACTTGGGTAAGGGGCGCAGCGTACGAGCTGAAGCCAAGCCCCTCACACTCCGCTTTACCCCTGAGCACGGTCTTAACAACCGCGTGCGTAACGTCTGTGAGAGGAATTATGGATCCGCGTCTGATCACCCTCTCCGACTGTGAATATCAAGTATAAGATCATCTGACCATCCACATGCCCATAGATGGCTCGGGGCCAGGCACGATGAAGTCAAAATGTTGGATATATAACAGCACCTGAGACAAGCACTCAGGGAGCTGCGCAAGGGAACCTTTGGGGAGGGTTGGCTGGAATATGGCTCGTACTTGAGCGACATAAGACCCTGCAGAGCAATATCAAGTATCAGGAAGTGTCACCACCGGTAAATTTAGAATATGCGCCATCGTTACCACCATTAACCCTCTGGTTAAATAACACAGCATCGCAGTTCCCTCTAGGAAAATTACTGGAAGGTGGCTCAGTGTGAATTTGTTGGCTTGGCATGATTCTGTGGGTGTGGAATGTGGAATGTAACTGGATGTGAAATTTCAACCATGTGTTGAATGATAGCTGGCCAGAGAGTGTGCAACCATTGTGGGTCGCGTAGAGGTGTAAAGTATGGGAAAAATCAGCGATATCGTATAACAACTGCAGTTGAGATGCATCGAGGCGGTTGCGATCTGCTTTCACAGTCACATTGAAAGCAATCCGTGCATTGTCCAACAAAATACCCTTCAAGAAATGATTGTGAACAGGGCGCGGTGCTTGTAGATGTAGCTGGGTGGCTGTATTTGCATTGGAGACCCAAGCAAAAGTAGGATCTATCTCCGTACTAGTGATCTCTTCATCCTCCATGGCGATGGTGTTGATGAGTGGGTCCCGACCAGGTGTAGATAAAGACAAGGATAACAGTGTATAGAGATCGAACAGCCAAATGGTTTCCTCCTGATCAAGGATGCAGGTGATCTGCAAGACGAAGTCTCTCTGATGACTCGTGCGTTCAAATGGATGTTTGTAGTGAGTTATTAAAAGACGTTCTGATACATCTGCTGTCCACTGCATGAGTGAACCGACATGGGAGATTGCATGAGTGAAACTTTGCATGAGTTCCAGTTTCGGAATGAAAAAGTCGTCCTTAGCACCGCTCTTTCCCCATCGTGCCTCTGCGTCGAGGATAGCCTGCTTATTATCATGGAAGTCCTGAAGTGATTGAGTCATGGAGGCAATGCTAGATTCAGTGTGAAGGGGATTCTGAGCAAGGTAAATAAAGTTGATCATTGCCCGCACAGCGCGGATGAAACCAGGGCTTGCCATACCCCACAGTGTCGGCATGATCATGCGCTGAATATCTCGGTGCTCTCGTCCTGTCATTTGGTTGACATGAGAGACACCCCTAGAGAAATGGCGCACACCAGTGCACTTGTGGTGACTCTTGAACTGTACGTTGAGTTCATGACCCATGATTTCCTTGATCCATTTAAGAACATGATTGAAAAAAAAGTTGTGCAGCGCATGCAGAATCTTTAGCATCAGGAATCTAGTGGGATTGGAGCGCCTCCAGTTTCTCCAGTACAGCAAGTGCACCCCGCTGAGATGAAGCTTTTTGGCCTCTCTAAGGTATGCAATGAGATCCCATGGGTCAACATGGTTGCAAAGCTGCTGGATAAGCGTGTAGGTGTCCAATCCGTTCCATGGAGGATGCAGTGTCTCATCGCCAAACTCTTTGTGGGTCGCTGTGGTGACGGGAGATGAGTTTTTCGTGATGCATGAGATCATCAATTGTTCAGGGAGATCAGCGATGTGGCTGATAAGAGGGGTGAAAACAGTAATGCACTCTGGCTGAGGGATCGACCATATACTCACCAACACTAGTTGCGACCTTCAAATTAGAACATATGAGGTGCATGCACTTGTGCCACAGACACACCTGGAGTAGAGTTTGAAAATTGGAGTTGACAATGAAAGTCAGTGTTGGCATGAATGCAGTACATCGCCACACATGTGACATAGCCTTCATGCAGACATCGGCCTGGATATTTCCGATGGTTAGAAATAATGGGTGCATCTGGAGGCCACCTGTGTGTCTTGTAACTGGGGTTTTGTCAGAGGCAGCAATGATCAGGACGATAGTTGCCCCTTGGGCAGTTGATTCTATTGTCAAGTATCAATTGCTCGAGTAACTCTAAACCAAAGCGCAACTACTCACCTGAATCTCCCATGCATCATCCAATGTCCAGAATTCTCCAATTTGGTGTTCTTGTCCTTGATAGATATAGTGAGGGTTGTAGCACATATGTTTCGCATAAACGGGGTTTGCGAAAAGCTGCTTTGTAACCTCCAACCTGTCCCTCCAAATGAGGTGAATTGGTTGTTCACTCTCGTAGCCCTTGAGCTTAAGTTTCGTACACTGCCATTTCGGCCCACAGCCCGGAAGCTGCTGCATGTAGAAGAACAACTCGTCCTTCAATTTGAATTGCGGTCACTCTCTTGTCTGGAACTGAAGTAGTATGTCAATTAAGTATCTACTTGATGACAATTAGACATACCCAATCTAACTTGAGAAATTTGTCAATCTGCGTCTGGGAAAGGTTCTCGACAAGGAATTTTGCGAGTGACCATTCACCCGGCCCATCAAATGGATACCATATATTAGTCTCTCTGGCTTGTTGAAGAGGATGGTCTCGCATTTCTTGAAATATATTTTGTGGAGGTGGTTGATCTGGAAGCAGGTAATGGTAGCCAGAGGTGGGGTGATACTTTGCTGATAAGTTTGTCTGCTCTGGTGGTCGCTGTAGAGACTGTGGTACTGGCAGCATTGATGCGTTAATCAGGTTCTCTGGCCAGCATGAGTCTGCACTATTTAGATGCTCAATTATTGCCTCAGACAATTGGTATTGTTTCTTGCAGTTAGGACACAGGGCGACAGCAATGTTGAAGGGCGAACTGGAGAAAGAGATTGAGAAAGAGATCAGTGAGTCATTTAACACCACATAGTACTGCTCCCTTTTCTGCAAACTCTGCAAACTCAGAGTCCGGTTCCTCATGCTGAAAACTGGGGTTATATGGATCGTGCAAGTGGTGCTGAGGATATGCCATTGGAGTGACTAGAGTTACCACCAGTACTTGCTACACTTTGCACAACACTCGAAAAAGCACTAAGTCCTTGAAACTCTGACCGTTGATTACTGCTCAACACCGTTGAGTGACTGCCAGACATCAGTTATGTATCCTCCAGAGTTTATGTTCCATGATATATCGAGCGGCGAAACCCTGCAAACCAATCCATTGCATAACCAAAAGTCTAGTCCAATTCTCCAAAAGGTTGATTATGCTGAAGCTTTCACTTGCGTCTACCATGATAGCCCCCCAAGCTCTTCTCCACCTAGCAGCCTTTGTCCCTTGTCACCCCCAAGTACTCATCATATCATCTCAAATATCAGAAAATACTCAAATCAAATCTTTGCAGCATCTGTCACTTCCTTTGGACATGCCGATGTCGGTCCACCTACTATGAAAAGGCGGGGTGGAATACATCATTCAAAACAGATTTCGCAGTCCAGCTACCACCCTTATGTCTGGAGGGTTCCCCCCACTCCACAGGCTGAGCGTAAGATGGCAAGCGTGATGGGAAGATTGACTGGCAGTACAGATTCGGACCTTGACGATGATACAGTATTCTACTATATTTTATGCTCCAACTCTCAGTGATATATCATCATGTCTCTAGGCTTGCAAAATATTTTCTCAGGGCTTGCAGTGGTTGTCCTCTGAAGGTATTCGCCGTGCTGCTTATTACAAGGAAGCAGAACTTGAACACCACCGGCATCTTTCAATGGCTTTGGTTTGGGAGGCAGAGAAGCTCTCGAGGCTCAAAAAATTCATTGATTGTGAGCAGCAGGAGCAGGAGGAACAAACCACTCGGGCATTTGAGGAGGCAGCGCTCTTTGTACGCATGGTGGCTGATCGTGACACAGAGCGTGCTTCCCAGGATCTCGAGTTCATCACTTCAATTCAACAGGAAGAGGCGGCAAGGGTCAAACAGTTGAATGATGAGCTTGATGAGCTCGATATATTCCTTCCCTTGGACCTACCAACTTCGGACTTTGAAGGACAGGGCCAAAGTGAATCAAAGTAGGAATCTATTTTTATTAGCCAATACCAAGGTAAGCTTCGTGCTTTCATATGGTAGCATGCGCTTATCTATTGGTCAGGTGTACATACCACGCAATATGTGATTAGATAATTGTAAGGTGGTACTTAAGCAAACTTCTTTTCCTACTTTTGACCATTTAGTATGTTGACGTTCTTTATTTGTAGTTTGTACAACTACAATTATCACTGAATGTAGCACTTTGTTTTTGCTTTACGAAGATGTCGTTAACGTTCGTGCACTGATTATCAACTGATTGTTGTTCTGTCACTTAACCACGATGTCCACAAGCCAAAACGCGCCCTCTAGACCTTGGCAAAGAGTTGTGCAGGTGAGTACTTTGGAATCCATCTGTCACTAGTAGTACACTAACTCATGACACAATGACTCGCAGGATGTTCTGATTGTTTGACAACCAGGGCTTAACATTGCAGGTCGGTCATCAGCGGACCAACTTGGCTGTGCGTCAGAGATACCAGAGTCGATAAACACGCCTGAACTACCCCCTCACATCTATCCTCCCCCCATCTTCTTGCACGACAGCTACACATCTATTCTGCCTGATTTCCAGAACAACATAGCTCCACCGAGATCATCCTGTTTTACTGGAACAGCTCCCCACACTACGGGACCTGATTGGGTCCAATGTACATTGGCACCTGATGGTGATGTCGCATCTTGATATCGTATGGTATACACGTATTTGCCTCTTCGCGGCACTGAAAGATCTCATCAGGAATTTACCGACAGTGTTGTGTTTGTAAGTCTTATTTTATATATTCTGAATTGTAGTTAATCATATGTTAGAGAGACGAGACTACAGGAATACAGAAATCTACAACACAACGATACCACCTTCCCCCTGTTAGACCCCTGAGGGAGTCGCTCGTGTCAGATTCAGAGCCGACGCCAATTGCTACCACCCCTCACCCCTCTGCATTGTCGACAGTTGCTGTGGGTACCGCTGCAGGACCTTTGGTCAACAAAGAAAAATCAAAAAAGGTTGTGAAGAGCGCTAAGGACTCTGTAATCACAGAAACACTGAATCGGTGTGCTTTCCATGATTTGTCTAGTCAATTGACTGTGGTAGAACGTGCACTTACTGACGTGTGTTCGCTCATTATCACCAAAAATGAGTTCTTCGTGCTACAACTAGGGTACTACCAGGCGCTAATGGTATCACTATTAGACTCGGACCCAGTGTTTAGATACTTAATTGACATACTACTTCAGTTCCAGACAAGAGAGCGACCGCAATTCAAATTGAAGGACAAGTTGTTCTTCTACATGCAGCAGCTTCCGGGCTGTGGGCCGAAATGGCAGTGTACGAAACTTAAGCTCAAGGGCTACGAGAGTGAACAACCAATTCACCTCATTTGGAGGGACAGGTTGGAGGTTACAAAGCAGCTTTTCGCAAACCCAGTTTATGCGAAACATATGTGCTACAACCCTCACTATATCTATCAAGGACAAGAACACCAAATTGGAGAATTCTGGACATTGGATGATGCATGGGAGATTCAGGTGAGTAGTTGCGCTTTGGTTTAGAGTTACTCGAGCAATTGATACTTGACAATAGAATCAACTGCCCGAAGGGGCAACTATTGTCCTGATCATTGCTGCCTCTGACAAAACCCCAGTTACAAGACACACAGGTGGCCTCCAGATGCACCCATTATTTCTAACCATCAGAAATATCCAGGCCGATGTCTGCATGAAGGCTATGTCACATGTGTGGCGATGTACTGCATTCATGCCAACACTGACTTTCATTGTCAACTCCAATTTTCAAACTCTACTCCAGGTGCGTCTGTGGCACAAGTGCATGCACCTCATATGTTCCAATTTGAAGGTTGCAGCTTGTGTTGGTGAGTAGACTCATTTTTTGTCCTACTGTCGACATGGTCGCTGATACCCGCTGCCATCACCCAAGGTCAAGCATTTTGCCTCCCAACTCGGACTATGTGTGGCTTGAGGGGGAGTGTTGGAATAACAAGTGTGCCCGCAGCCAAGGCAGCACCATTGTTCGCTCTTGTTTCATTTATCATTTCCAGCAACTCGTATCTTTCAATTGTGCCTTCTTGTCTTTCCGTTTATCCTTTTGTACTTACTGAATCCCTTTTGATTGCTTGGGCAAGTGCCCCATATCTCTTGTTACAGTCTCATTTACTTATTCATTTGCACGAGGTCACTTGAAGCCTATTTAGTTCACACAGATTTCGTACTCGAACCTCAGACATTTGCATTCATGTGCAACGACTGAGGTAAGACACACCATTACCTTACTTTTACCTTTACTCACACTACGTCAGAGTATCTGTTGTCAACAGGTAATATATGAGACATTTGCATTCACGCACAACGACTGAGAGTATCTGTTGTTAACAGATCCGCGAGATATTGTATTTATCTTTTAGGTTATGAGCCCTGAGCTCTGATAGCCTTACATCTCACCTTTCACTGCAAAAACAATCCAAATCTCGCAATGTCCACTGCCATTCCTGTCACAATGGACACCCTTCTGTCAAACGTACCGAAGCTCGATATTAAGGGCTCAAACTGGGCTATCTTCTCATTGTGCTTTCAAGTTGCTGTCAAGGCCAAGGAGTTATGGAAGTTTTTCGACGGATCTTGTCCCCGTCCTGCTTCGCCCATAACTACCACAGAAACCACTGCATTAGCCCAGTGGCAAAAGAACGAGAACCTCGTGAAACATTTACTCACCCAACAAATTCCTGACTCCACGGCTCTTCATGTTTGCAACCTCATGTTAGAATAACCAAGTGAACCAAGCCACAAGTGAGCTAATGAGAGTGAACAGGACTATAGTCCAGTGTCAGTTGCTATTGTGTTGTGTAAACTAATGAGTATACTATACCTATAGTCCAGTGTCAGTTGCTAAAGAGCAACCAACACAGGACTTGCTACCTATGGGCGAGTCTATGTAAACAAGTGTAAACACTGCCTAAGTAAGTAAGGAATTCACATCACATGCTAAGTAAGAGTCCAATAGAGGAAGCAACATCATAACACAAATAACTCGCACCATAAGGTGCTCAATCACCACAACTAACACCTCGCCGATGTCGCAACCATGTGGGCAGAAATTGTTCGTGAATACACAGAGAAGGGCGCATATGCACAAACTGACCTTCAGACTAAATTCCTCAAGTCGAAATGTGTCGCCGGAAGTGATGTGCGTCAGTTCCTGGATGAACTGCACACAAAACACGATGAACTATCCACAGTTGGCATCCAGATCAAGGAGAAGGATTATTGGTCTACCATCATTCAATCTCTCCCAAATCACTTAGCCGCGTTCGCATCTGAACAGCTTGCCACTGCCTGCCTTTATAGCACCAGCAAAACCATAGACCCTGACATTCTGATCTCTCTGATTATTGAAGAGTTGGAACGACAAAACCGCAAGGATGGTCGCCCATTGCATGGTAATACCTCCACATGTTCTGGAGGAACAAATGAGGCTATGGCGCTAACTGAAGCCCCTCATTGTGAACGGAGCAATTTCCGTGGCGGAAATAGAGGATCGAACAGTGGTAGGAACACTGGAAATCGTCAGCGTCCACCATGCTGGAACTGCAGCTCACGCGAGCATTTCAAAGCTTGCTGTCCTGAGCCTGACAAAACAGCAAACAGCAATGCTGGTGCAGCCAGAGGCTCTGCAAATGCCACTGCTGAGGACAACTCCAAGGATGATGGAGTTTTCACTATTGACTATCCCACAGATTCCGAATCCTTGTGCTCCATCCCCAACCTCCTATCTATGGAGTCATCTGATGATGACGCTGAAGAACGATCAAACTTCGCTGTCAGCAATGACAACTGGTTCTCGGAGGTAGATGAAGATGACTTGCCTTCACCAGGTGATTGGGAGACTGAGTCAGCAGCTCCTAGCTATGGAAGTGACACAGGTTCTTTCATAGACCTAGGCACACCTCACATGGAGGATGAATTTGCTGCTAAAGTAAGCAATGGGCACGAAGATAGTGCCATTGTTGAGCTGTGTGATTCTGGAACTACGCGTCACATCTTGCCGTACTGAAACCATTTCGAAACTCTATCTGCCATCCCACCCAAACCCTTCATTGCTGCAAATACACAGCATTTGAACACCACAGGAATCGGCGAGCTCGTCATTGAAGTTCCTAATGGGGTAGACGTCTCTAAACTGTGTTTAACAGAAGTACTATACTCACCAGAAGTCAGGTATACCCTCATATTGATCGGTCATTTGGACAACCTTGGCTACTCCACTACATTTGCCAACAGCACCTGCACCATCCATGACCCCTCCGAAAATGTAGTCGGTAGTATTGCAAAAACCAAATGAGGACTTTATTGTGTTGTCCACGATAGCGAGGTGGGAAATGCAAATGTAGCAGATAAAACCATCACCGTCATGGAGCTACACAGGCATATGGGCCATATAGCACCCAGTACTGCCTGGCGTCTAGCAGAAAATGGCCTGGTAACCGGTGTCAAAATTGACATGACATCTGGAGAGCCTACATTCTGCGAGTCATGCATTTACGCAAAGGCTACACACAAACCCATGGCCAAAGCCCATCAAGGAGAATGAGCAGTGGATTTTGCGGGTGAAGTTCACACCAATCTATGGGGTCCATCACCAGTCCCCACCCTAGGAGGTCATTGTTATTACATTAGTTTCACTGATGACAAAACCTGACTCACCTATCTACACCTCCTGCGCCAGAAGAGCGAGGCGTTCCAGGCATACAGAGATTTCGAGAGCTGGTGCAGCACCCAGCACAACACTCATGTCAAGATCTTGCATTCTGACCGAGGGGAAGAGTACCTAGGCAAGGAATTCTCCTTGCATCTCAAATCTGCTGGTATGGTGCACAAACTCACCATACACGACACCCCACAGCATAATGGGGTGGCTGAGCACCTCAACCGCACCTTATTAGAGAAGGTGTGGGCTATGCAGCATGCCAGTGGTCTGCCACAGTGGCTCTGGGGCGAGGCTGTACGCCATGCCGTCTGGTTAAAGAATCACACTCCCACAAAAGCCCTTGATGGACTTACACCCCTTGAAGCAGTGACAGGCAAGAAGCCTGATTTATGGAATGTTCGCCCTTGGGGCTCCTGTGTTTGGGTAAGAATTGAGGGTGGCACCAAGCTTGGTGGGTGCATTGAAGAAGGCCGATTGGTAGGCATTGACGATGCAAGCTCAAACAGATGCCGTGTGTACTGGCCGATCAAGAAGACAGTCACTGTTGAGAGGAACATCTATTGGGACAAATCTGATGTTGAGCTGGCTTCTCATGAGGGGGAGGAAGAAAATGAGGTACCTAACACGATGATGCCAACTGCTCAACCTACCCCACCACCAACAATTTCCAAAGCACCAAAACCCATCATCCCCTCCAAAATCCCTGTCCTATCGACCTCGCTGGTACTCGATATGGTTGCAAAATGAGTTAGAAAACCGAGTCAATGTGTCCTTGACATCATCAATGGAAGTGGCCCCATCTCCAAAGGTGTTCAAGTTGCCAGAAGTCATGGAGGAAAGAGCTGTATCTAAGGAGGAGGATGCGGTCAATGCCCTATGGCAATTTTGGAGGACGAGGACCACTCTGCAGAGATAGCTCTAGCACTAAGTGAGTTTACCACTGACGCTGAAGCGTTAGAACCTACCACCCTGGGGGAAGCAAAATGCCACCCAGATTGGCCTCAATGGGAAGCTGGCATTTGGGAAGAGTGGGCAACACTCCAGACTGGAGGCACATGGGAACTTGTAGACCTCCCAAATGGTGCGAACCTCGTTGGTTCCAAGTGGGTTTTTTGGGCAAAGAAAGATGCCGCTGGAAACATTGTCCGCTACAAGGCCCGATTAGTCGCACAAGGATACTCGCAGGTTCCTGGCGTGGATTACTTTGACACCTATGCACCTGTAGCCAACCTTGCTTCTATCAGAACTGTCCTTGTCCTCTCAGCTGTTAAGACCGTGCTCAGGGGTAAAGCGGAGTCTGAGGGGCTTGGCTTCAGCTTGTATGCTGTGCCCCTTACCCAAGTACATGCCCCTAATTTCAGAATGTAGTCCAACACGAATTTTATGGGTTCCGACAGGACGTCAGAACGGGGTCCTCTGAAGGAGGGCCGACAGACTACTAGGTGAGCGCAGGAAAGTCGGGCAGGGGTTGTTCCGCCCGACAGGAGGGAAGCAGGAGACTACTACAGTCGGAACCAACGGTAGAAGCGGAGTGGAAGGAACTGCTTTGGATGAAGTCCAAAGCAGAGCGGAATGGAGGGGATGGGTGCAAGAGTGTGGGGTCTAGTTTCGACGCACAGGAAGTCGGAGGAGCGGAGGGACAGAGGAACAGGGGAACAGGGGAGTGGGGGAACAGGGGAAATGGGGGAACAGGGGAACAGAGGAGTGGGGGATCGCAGGATCGCAGGATGGCCGACCTAGGGAGTCAATCCCCTAGGCCGGCTTTAACAGGAGTTGACTAGGATCAGGCCCAAGTCAAAGAACAGAAGAGCAGGGCTTAGAAAAGGTAATATTCAGACTGAGTATCTACAGACAATTGTACATATGTTTATATACTCTAAGTGATGAGCATAGCATAGCAGAAGGCTATGTGCTGAGTGTACAGGATTACAATAGGATGACTGAGACATACAAGAATAAGGCTTGGGGAACAGTATGTACGCGATGGATCAGAATCGCTAGGGTATAGGGATTACTGGTGATCCGAAAAGCGGAACTATGATACTAAATGGGGATAGGACCAGTTGAGTGGTTCCTAGTCTAGGAGTGGACCAGTGAGGCGGTTGGACAGACTAACAGTCGGGTGG